TTAAAGAATTTATATGTTTCCGTTGTAATAATATTCACGATGTCTTCTATTGTTTCAAGTCGATCATGAATTTGAAAGGTGGAGTTATTATTATAATTGTTAATGTAAATGTCAAAATGAAGACGATGTAAAAAATCAAAGACAAAAAATAATATGCAAATAATTAATTTGAAAAAAAAAAATTTTTTGCATGAAAAGGAAGATTGATGTATTTCAAAGGTTAAAAAAAACTTTTAAAAGGAAGAGTAATATTTTGAAAAGTGTGTTTCAAGCTTGAGAATAAGTTGTGAAATATATGTTTTTCAATTTTAGAAATTATAATAACTTGTTTTACACTTTTATAATATTATACTTAATTATATATTCTTTATAAGAACTTTAACATAGGTAGGAGACAAGATTTTGGTTTTAACATAAAATAGTAAGGTGAATGCAACAATAAATGAACAAAACAAATTATTTAAATTGCAGAACGACAGATTTCAGAAAGCTAATATTATGTGATTCACTGTATAATTTTTTTTTACTATGGAAATTATTTTTTTAAACTTTGTTACAATTTGTAACAAAATTATGATCGTGCCTCGAAATTTGTATGACAACGAAAAATAAGTATAATATAAATCATACAAATCGGATTATTATTATTATTATTTTTATCTATTTAGATAGTTAATAATATTAGTGGAGAATAGTGAGAGATGGGGCATCATTTCAATATAATATACTGTGTTTTAAGCTTGATACATAGTATACACTATAAGTTAATTCAATTTATAATAGTTATCCAATAATCATGTAATTATAAAATTGAAACGTTTGCAGATTATAATAATATAATATTAGATTATTATATTTTTAATAAATTTACTGGTGCAACATCAATTAGTTCCACTGGTAATTTGATTTTAACTTGAAATTAAAAAAAATAATAATCATGTCTGAAATACATTTATATATAATGAAATGAGAGTAAATAAAATAAAAGGAATCAAGTAAATAATTTTATTTTTTTTATTATGATGTGGAACCTAAAATCCTGTCAGTTCATGCAAGTCCTTTCAAGCAATCCTTTTGTAAGATTCTTCTTTTTCAGAAAAGCTAGATATCACTAAAAACTACTAAAGTTTAACGTCGTATTCGGGTGCTTGCGTACACATAAGGTTTTTGTAAATGAACTTCTCTATTTTTTACAAATATCAATAAATGTTAGATACAGTCGTGTGAGTTACTAACATTTTACAAACATCTCAAAAGGTATATTTTCTTAAATAATTATGCTCAATAATAGGTAACTATGTTATGATCTAGGTATATACTTATACAACTTAATCAAGGACGTTGTATTAAGTATATTTTGTACTTGCAATAATAATATTATTACAACGCTAGAACCGTATCAATACGGCAATACAATGGATTCATCGTCATAAAATCAGAGGTAATGTTTATGACTGATGATCGAATGGACAGTTCGAAATTTACAAACATATTTATGATATTGACAATACGAATATATTGAAATAGCTTAAACAGTTTATTTATGTATAGGTACCATACCATAAGTATACCTAAATAGATACCTGCGTTACGCGAAGGGAAATTATTTTTCTACGACGCATAGTCCGTGACGCACGAGGAGTTGCGGAAAACGTCAGGAAATGTTTTTTCATGCAAATCAGGGTCGAAATGTATGCGGAATTGCACATCGACGAGGACCAGTAATCCAGTGTTTTCCTTTTTAAGGATTAACCAAGTGATTTCGGTACGTCGTATTTCGGTATTGCTTTAGGTTCTTGTGATAATATTTGTTTAGGTGCGTTTAACAGTTTGTTCGGTTAACGCATACACACTCGCTGTGGCACATTAGCACATTATTTGACATGATTACAAAATAATGAGGTGTGCTAATCCCAGTGGAAATAATAATTGTATCTTCGACCGCGAGAGAAATGAGATGAGATGGAGGATTTAAACTATGAAAAAGTTATCGATTTTAAATATTTGGGAGAGACGTTAAGCAAAAAGAATGACTGGCCAAAATAAATAAGTATTTATATCAATAAAGCCCAAAAACCGTTCTACTTACTTATAAAATTCTTAGTATCCAAAATACTATCTAGGAAAACAAAATTAAAATTATATATGACTATTATAAGACCGACTCTCAAGTATGGTTGCGAGCTTGGACGACGACCAAACGAACAGAGAAACCTGAGAACTTAGAGAATAGAGTACCTATTTAGGAAAATATGTGGACCTATCATCGACGTAACAGGAAACTGGCGCAGGATATATAACAAAGAGCTGAACGACATGTTGGAACTAGCACCAGTAACAAGCTTCAATTAAGAGCAATGTATACAATAGGTAGGCGACATAATGAGAGGAGGAATGAACGAAGCAGTTAGAGTTTGAGTGTAGACCACAAGGAAAAAGACTCAGAGGAAGACCTAGAAAAATATGAATTAACGTCGTGAAAGAAGATAAAAGAACTCTTGGAGTTGAGGATTGGAGAGAGGCAGCTCAAGAGCCCAAGAGATAGGAGACGAAGTGTATTCATGGCCGCAAAAACTCTGAGTAATTAGTCATACCAGAAAAAGAAGAAGAGATTTTCGACCGCTACCTGAAAAACATACACTACTCGATGCTCATCCATCGTCGTCGCATATATTATTATTGTATACGGATAATGATATTTTATCAAGCAAGCAGGATGTCGAAAGGAATTCTCGGCTGCCAGAAACACACCACTCACCGGCATCCACACACCCGCACCTCCGTGGCAAGGGCGACAATATTGGACCGGAAATTAGTATTGTTCTTTCGTCTGAGATATTGGTTTTTCAAGAGGTGATCATGCGGAAATCTCGTTTTTGCAGGATTGCTTTTCCGCGTGTGTCGTTACTCGTTCGATCGGCGCAGGACGCCATGCCTGCTGGCCAGGCGGATATTTCGGAATCCGGAGGGCGACAATAATATAGTGTTGGTGTGTGTGTTTGGGAGTAATGTTTAAATACCCAGCTGATGTTCGAGATACAAAAGTGTGTACTATAGCCAAGATTCCATTACGAGTTCCAGCAACAGCGGCGCCAGTTATCCGATAGGGCAAAAAAGAGAAAACGTCTATGTGGCGTCAAAGGAATCTAATGGACTTACAAGCTGCAGCAGAGCATTTGTCAACTCCAGGTACTGTTTATGTACCGATGTGGTATACCACGTGTCCACAAAAACAGGGTAGGTACGGTAATCTAAAATGTTTTAAAAACATTTCAATATATCCACCAAATACCAACGCATGTAAGAATATAGAGTTTTAAGTTTTTAATCAATAAATTCATTATACTTGAGCTTTTAAATAAAGCTCAAGATTGACTGGAGTTAACCTCAAAATGAGATAACACCGGACACCTATATCAATCCATAGAAAAACTATGTCATAATTTTAGCGGTTACAACTCCAAACTACATTTCACGTTTTTAAAAAAGTGACAATTGATGTTAAACAATGCCTAACATATTTTGTTACACTTTTTAGAACACATTTTAATAAGAGAAATCATCAAGTTCAAAATATTAAGATAAAATAAGAATATCCAAATTAAAAAAATAAAACAATTAAGAAATACTCATTCAATTTATCTAACAAAAGAACTAAATACAATTTTTGTATTTTACTTTATTACACACTGAATAAATGGTGTCTGAATATAGTTACACTTCGAAACACTGATTTTTTAGACCTTCCAATACTACTTATTAGATTTTTTTAAATTAACTTGTAATTTTTGAATATAAAAAGTTGACCTCGATAAAGTATCAACGTAATTTACACCTACAGAAACCAAAAGCTTCGCTTATAGAAATGGCTTTTATCATATTTTATAAAATGAATTTGAAAATGTATTGTTTTCTTTGTTATAAGATGATGAAATATATTATTATTATTAATATATAAGAGGTAGGAAATATGGACAAATTTTGTTTTTTCGTTCGAGATACATATACTTACAAATAATGTTTAGTGAAAATATTTTCAATTCATGTTAATTCCTTTATTTCGAAAGATCCGACTTAAATTAAAAACTCTTTCGTCCAAATTCACTACGCGAGTGACCGAATTGTATGGTACACTCCAACTTGGTTACTTATACGCAACATTATACGCAGTAGGCACCCCTCGTACATATTTTGAATTTTGTTAGCTGGACAATACTATGAAATCACACATTTTTACGACTTACAACTGTTTAACTCTTGTATTTTGCGCATGCGCAACAACTTCATCTATATCCTGTGCACCCTATTTTCTTTGGTCACCCTCAGTAAAGAGGTTTCAAAGCGCTGACGACTAATAATAAACCTGTCTCTGTGCGACTTACAAAAGTGCTTTATTTCATTATAAAACATCGCGGCTGCTGCTCAGTACTTAGCTGGTACCGGTCACAGGCTAAACCAGAAGCTACACGAAGACTTATTGATTTAATAATAATACAATAAATCAGAAAATGTTTATTATATATAGCGCATACAGATCAAATGCATCTTGTATAATAAATCTAATCTAATAATAAAAAAAATTGGTCTGGTTGTTCCGCTATTGCGACGCTGCGCGACACTATTACTTTCTCGTTGAATTGTCATACTGGACTTTTTGCAGTATTTCAATAGATACTTATTGTACAGTCTCGTGTAATTACTAATTTTATATAGCTTGTGTTTTGAAAAAATAAAATGTAAGTAGTTTTATTTGAACGATTTTTTAAAAACTGTTTTCGTCATAATATTATTTATAGGGTTTTTACCTAATCATCATTTGCCTCCTTCGAATGCCTACCATATCAATTCAATTATAAGCGATTAAACACATCGGTAAAGATCGATGTTTGTGTACAATATGATCAACGATGTTTTTGTTTTTTATTAATTACTATGCGCTGCTGATCAAACAAGGAAAAAGGAAATATGTAAGATACCAAAATTGAAAATAATTTAATTTATTTTCGCAAAGACGTAGTATATTATAACTATTTTACACAATAGGTAGTAAAAACATTAATAATATTAGTGATATTAGTAGAAAAATGTGTTGTTTTAAATAATAATAATTTTTTATCGAAATCGCATGATTTCTGTATGTGAAAATAAAAACAGCTAATAAATGTTATTTTACAATGTGGAAAAAGACAACTAATTGACATTTTTTCATCATCGGTTGTAGTTGAATTTTTCTTCCTTTTGCAAAGCCCTCACTAAAATCACGCTAAGAACGGATATGAGCATCTGAAACAAAAACGGGTTTTACAATAATTAGTGAATTGACAAAAAAATAATCAATACTTGGAATTTTTAAAATACTTGAAATTGTTTTCTACATTTTGGTAATTCATATTATTATAACATTGTAGAAAATAAATATTAGTTAGTAATACCCATTTAGTAAAACATTCGTACGCACTCAAGTGCACGCCAAATGTCAATAAATCATAAAATTAATTCAATTAAATCTTTCAATTATAAAACGATTTCTTATAATACTACCTACAATAACATACAATTGTGTATAAATATGACGATAGTTAATTTCAGATGACCGTGGCTCAGTGGTAGACTGGGTGGTATAGTCTTAAAATTTTCCAACCCTAAAGAAACACAAATATTGGATATATAGTATGATAGAACGAGTACAGCGCGATGACGTTAAACGTCGAATATAATTGAATGTTTTAATAATATTTTTTATAAAAACAGATCCTTGGAATAAACGACAAACTGTTTATTTCCGCTCGTGTAACAACTGAGTTAAGTAGAACAGTTAGCCGTCCCGCATATACATTCGTGGAAAAATACAAATGGGAAGATTAAAGGTTCGTTTTATCATATTTAATAACGATTTGTCATAAATGTCTAGGTCACTTAATATGGTACAGCAAACATGGTTATGGTAAACCATAGATCAGATGCAGCAGTCGCAGTGGTGGTAGAGAGGTAGGTACTTAGAGTTTGGTACTAAAATATCAGATTTTATTTTTCAGCTTAAAAGAAGAATTCGATTGGTTTTTCGCCGTTGAATTGTATTATTGATTTTTAATAGCAATGTACGTTTTATACACAATTTTCAAACGTTCATCGAATTCATTAAGAGTCGAATTTTAATCTCATCACTTGCAGGTCACACCAGGTGATGTATCCAAATTATAAAAGTTGAAAAATCGTATTCAATCGAATTCACGTTAACAATGAGTTCAATTTGTATTTTATTCGGTAGTTATTGAGTTCGGTGTGTTTGATCGGTTGTTTTAATATTACCCGTCGGACGTTAAGTAATCACGATAAATCACAAGGCGAGACTATCCGACGAGAAGCATTTCGTAATCAAATAAACCAAATTGTCTTTGCTAATAGTTTCTCAAGCTCAAACCTGCTAAATAATGAGATTTTCTTTTCATTTAGGGGAAAAAAAAATATTTTTGCGCCAGAAATATTGGAATGGCGAGGTAGTGGCGGCAGAGGTGTGTACAGGAAAAATAATTTTAATTATTTAAATTAGCATTGGAGAGAAAAATGGCAGATTTAACTTTTTACCTTCATCTCGTCTCTTGCTTTTTTGTTTCTTTTTATTTCTTATACATGTATTTTTTTTTCGGAGCTTATAGAAATAATATAATATAAAAAGAACGAACGTTATAAATAGCTTTATCTTTAGTTTTTTGTAAATTATGCAAATTTAAGCGAAACGAAATATTTATTTTATGAATTTAGTAATCTTTTTAACTTTTACACCCCCTCCACATCATCATAAGTTTATTATTTTTAATTTATATTCTGTTTATTGTATTTATTTTGTATTAATTTTCATTTTTTTTTTCTATGGTGGAATTTGTTTGTTGTATACGAGAAGAAATAATTTTACAAACTATTTTACAGTTTTTTTTTAACGAATATATAATTCTTATATAGGTACATAAATTCTTAAACTATATAAAACAGTTCAAGAATATCTTATAATGTGATATATATGGTTCAAACCATGTAATCAAAATTGAAATGTGAAAAACGTGAGCAAACCTGTAAGGCTAGGTACCTATATACATATGTAGTTTTAAAATGCAATTTAATTTTAAAATGTTGAAATTGTTTAAATAAAATATTAATTATGTTTTATTTTTTACCAGATATCACCAGGTTTTGATTTAAGATTTTTCAAACAACACAGTACCTACCTATAATACCATAATAAATATAAAAATTATATTGAAAATACTAAAATAAAGATTAATAGCTTGGAATAAGGTAAATCATACCTTCGTCAATAATTTGATAATGTCATAACATCATCGCGTCTCATCGGGATAGTTTTTGCGTATTGTCCAAGTATGTTTTCACAATAAAACAAGATTAAAATATCATCAGCTACTATAGAGTTCTATTATTTTTGTGTGGTCTATTATTAGTTTATGATCAGAAAAAAACGAAATATTCGTGTACGACAATGTTATGTGAAAATGTCATGATCCATTTTATGGATTTCTTTAGTACCCTCCCCTGGTGATAGTGGGCAGAATAAAAAGTAAGCCATGAATTTCAGATGCCCAATGATGACTTAACGGCATCATCAGTGAAATCAAAGTAAAAGAGTAACAAAAAATAAAAAATTGTAAGGTATTATTCTGTTATGTATTTTCCAATACTTATATCAGTATCCAGTACGTATGTACATATTTCACCATACAACACATGACAATGAAATTGAATTTGAACTAAATTCAGTTTACATTTGAAAAGTAAATTTCTTCAATAGTCGATAATTTAGAAAGGGGAGATGTCTTTTAAAATTTATATTGCTTAAAATACAGTAAGTAACTGATTATTTTATTCGAAATACGGTTTTAATGAAAAATAAAAACCTTACACAGGTATAACAAACAGTTATTTACGTCGAAACATTTATAAAAAGTTTAAAACAATGTCTAAGTATATAAAAGAAAACTACATTATATTTAAACATCATATTAATTTAATTACTTTTCTATTTAACGTATATTACTATGTAAGTAATTTGAGTAATTTAAGAGCTTGTAAATATGCTGGAAAAACCTCTGTTAAAATATAATAAATGATGGTTATAGTTTCTGCGATCGACAATTTTACATATATTTTTTTTTTATATTATACACTTTTTATTTAATTATAAAATGAAATTAATTACTATATTTTTAAACTACTAAATACACAACACTAATGCGTGAATATCATTTATAATCGATCGGTGATGTATTAAACAAAATATAAACTAGGTAATATTTACTTTGTATATAATATATCTTTGACATTTAAATTAATATTAACGAAACTGAGAGAATAAAATTAAAAATTATCTCTCGGATAAAAACAAATAGATTATTTCGAATTTGAATAAACTCAAAACGAAATTAAACGCTTTTGCTAATGTATTTTCTAAGGAAAAAAAAACCGTAACAAACAGAAAAAATAAAAATAATAAGGTTATACCGTTTGTATATATATATGTATATTGTGTATAAAATGATTACTAATTTACAAAGGTCTCACGTAGTTCGCGATGAAACGATAACTCGTTAGATTGCCGGCGAAGAGTTGAAAGGTCGGAGTGGTCACAGGAAGAGAGTGCTGTATTTTATGGGGTACCTACCTCGGAAAATTCCCATTAAAAAAAAAAAAAAAAAAACGTAAACATTTCTATGCGAAAATATCTCAATAATATTACGGACGACGGTGTGCCGTGTGCGGCGTATCAAATTTATTCTCCAGCTGCTGCCGCCGCCTCGCCGTTTCTTTAATAACATTAATTTCCTTTCCGACTTTTTAAACATAAATCGTATAAAATGGAGACCCACTACGGTTATCGTAGTCATAAGGATTCGATACGCCAAGGAGTGACTACGGTTGGCGGGGGAGAAGAAAAAAAAACATTTACAGTTGTCGTGATGAAATATTACAGTACACTACTTCGTGTACCTTCGCCACCGGGCTTCACTCCCCCCCCCCTCCCCACAGCCACGTACATCGCCCTTGCCGATACTCTTATAATATTCTATAAAATGGATATTATAGATTACATTATTTTAGTTTGCCGGGTTGATGGGCGCGAAAGGCGCTGCAGGAGTGCACACACAGTGGCGCAATAGTGGTATACCCGGTACGTCTCGTGGTAAGTACCGCGGTAGAAGTGCCGGGTAAAATGAAACACCTAAGTACCTATGTACCTTGTGCGAGTGAGACTTTTTTTATTTAGAGCTATACATTTCGAGGTGCAGTCGATTTCCCCCCCC